AATTTGTTCATGATGAATGGATAAAATATCTTAACAGCGAGCCACAAAGTAAGAAAAAGAGTGTGTAAGAGGGAACAGTGATCTACTACAACGTTAATTATAACCTGCTGACGTTCTTCTCTCTCGGGACAGAAGTAGGGGGTGGACGGTACTCCGATAAAGGTAGCGCTTTGACTGTATTTGCAGTCATACTTTGAAAACTTGAAAACCATGCTATTGAAAAGAGCAGATACGAAAATCTATAAAAAGAGTGTTCAGAGGCTTTCGGCCTACTTTTCTAGCCCATGTTCACGTACCAAGTCAAAATTGCTCACTGTGTCAAACACAGTCAAATCGTTACTGTTACAGTAATGATAACTGGTAACGGTCCACTCCCTAGATAGAAGCGCCGTCTGAATTGAAAATTTTGAAAAGTCAACTTGTAGCGAGATAAGACGTTCAGTAAAAACCAAAATCGATTGCTACGGCATTCTGACCTTGGGAAGTTGTTTACAAGATATATTGGGCAGTAAGCGACTCTCACGAAAACTGAGTTCACGATAGTCTATTACACTAATTTATTAAGCCATTATCTGTTTCTTCCAGCGACGGTAGGTCCGAGTTTAGACCCATTCCAAGAATCTTCATGTTCACGAGACGATATTCAAGTAAAGGGAAATTCTGAGAAATTCTTAGAAAAATTCATAGAAAAATATGATATACTTGATGCCGATTCGTACAAGAAGGTGTCAATTGCTTCGAGTTATCTGTATTCTCTGATTCGTAGCTTTAATATTTGTGCTTTCCAAAAAAACTTTGCTATCGGTGCTTTTTAGTGGATTTGAACTCTATCGATAGTGTTGGTGTGTCTTTAGATTATCTTGATCGAAGGCTGGTGTGATCTGAATCTACTCATTTGCTCAAAATTCTTTATATCCAGATTCTTCATTCAGGTCACACCAATCTTCGATCAAGATAATCTAAAGACACACTGACACTATCGATACGACACAAAGTGAAATCAGAGGGGCTGGACGAGTTCGAATCCACTAAAAGTCACCAAAAGCAAATTTTCTCTAAAACACACAAAGATTAAAGCTGCGAATTAGACAATGCACATCAATCGAAGCAATTGATGCCTTTTTCTATGACTTAGCTGTGTACACAAAGTTTCCATTTGAACTCAGAGACCTAGCTTCGCAGATTTCTGGTGCCCTACAAAGGCCATACTAACAGATTTGCATAGAATCTGCATTCCCACTACCCCTGATTATAAGCTTTTTCAGGTATTGAAATCAGTTTATTACAAGTCACAGTCTTGCAAATCCAGCAAAAATCTATAGGAAACGACCAAAACTGCTTTTGGGCATATTTGCACCCGATCACATTTCGGAAAAAACTGTTTCACTCTAACGAATAGTATGCCCTTCAATCGTCGAAGACAAGTGCATGCTCTTCTATTTATAGGAGAAAAGTGGCTAAGAAGATCATTCATCGATTACCTAGGGATTGAAAATGCTTGAAAATGAACTGTTTCTCTTTTATGATTTATAACCTAACTATGTTTCATACACTATTATGTTCAGTTTTTCATGACGTATTTTTCTTTATCAAACACTACCCTAACTCAGTTCTAAATTTTGAGGAGAATCGGCTTTAGTAGGCACTAGCATCTTTATGCCTCATTTTAGAAAAAATAATGTCAAAAAGTTCTCTAAGGCTTCAAAACGGCAGGTCGACAGGAAAATGTGGAAAATCATTGTCTCTATAGAACTACATTAAAGTTAAAACTTAAAAGTCAATGGACCGAAATCGATGCAAAGATTATTAGAAACACTGATCAAGACAACTACGCTAAACAAACAAGCAAGGCGAGGAGAGCTGATTTCCACTGTTCTGATGGGGGTTGTTACGTGGCAACATCAACTGAAATACTGGGAACGAGTGTTTCTGTGTGTTTAATTATGTTGACATCAGTATCAAGTTAGGAAAACCTGTTGTCGGAAAGTTCGTACATTCTATACAAACTGCTATTGGAAATAGTATACTTTTTCTCCATCATTTTCTTCTGTGATATCTTGACCTTCAGCTGGTTTTTGTAATGGTTTTCTCAGAAAAAAAGAGATTCAGTTTTTGTTTTTCTTGTAGCCACGAAAAGCCTTGTTTAGACACAAATAGTCTTCAATCTTGCTTTTACTGATTTAAGCTACACAGATAGAGAAAGTGTAATATTTAGACCAATGATCTGTTTTAATAAATATTCTTTTCTGTTAAGATGAACTATATTATCGTGATTTTCGCCGTACGTCCACTTATTCATTTCAATTTGTATCGCAATTATGTCGATTAAGTCAACAAACAATTGGTGATGCATTATTAACACTTCAATCAACTGCTCATATTACATTCACATTATTATCAAAAGAGCTATTTCTACAACAAACTCAGTTATCAATTCAACAGTTTCAATCATCAACTATTAACGACTTTTTATTTATATTTGACTTTATTCAATCAACAACACATGCTAATGGTTTATTATCCAATACAATGACTAATTATCAATTAAGATTAATTTCATTTCTTGACTTTCTTGATTATCATCTAACAACTCAACCATCTCAGTATAATCAAGGAAATTGCACATGTGATAATCCAACAAAATGTTTCGAATTATCAGCAATATATAATAGTAATTTTTCTATTCAATTCCAAGTAACAGGGTTTTATTTAGGTTGTTACTTGACGGATTCATTATTACAATCAACATTAGAATGTTTTTATTCTCAACAATGTTTAAAACAAATACAATTCTACTATTCATCAACAAATTACAATATAACACCGTTAAATTCAACATTGAAAACCATCTCTCTAGTATGTCTCAGTTCATAGGGAGAGGAGTCTATTAGAACAGAAAGGCTTGAATGGAAATGCTGCGGATTAATTCGAGTCTAATTTATAGAGAGTAATTAAAGGAGATAAAGTGAGTCAGGTTTTCACGAAAAAGTTGAAGTGAACCAAATTATTTGATATGTAAATCGTTCTACCCAGTTTCTGATGCTGATTCCGAATATGATATTTATTTTGCACAATAACTTAATTATAGTGCAGAAAAGGGTGATTTAGGAGTGCGATTCCTATTTTGCTGCCTCTGATTTGGAAAAAATCGGTATTCTCAGCAA